TATATGGAGTGAGAAAGAGAGAGAGAGAGATTCATAAATATTTATAGGTATGCAATATGGCAAGAGTTTATGGCCCACTGGAGCTTCATGTGAGGTGAGATGTTTTCAGTGGAAGAGGAGTTGAATGTTTCAGGAGGATAGAAAGTCAATTACTTCACATCTGTCGGCTGATTCGAGTCTAAATGCCTACAGGGCTTCATAGTTGGAGCCAGAGTTCATCTTTTATGCACAGACCTGCTTAATGATGCAGCCGCATCAAATGCCTCTCGCACGGAATACAAAAAGAAAATAAAAATATAAATAATACAAATGTTGTGTTATGATGCTTATATGAAAGCATTCACTTTCCTTGTGATTCCTGATGTGAAGCCAGTCAGAGAAGTACCTTTTGTCTCTCATAGCTGTGTGGAAGAAATACATGTTGTGATGCTGGGCAAATTAGTTGTATGTGTCTGCGCTTAACTTGGAAGATGATGATTTTTTTTTTTTTTTTCATTCAAGCTTTATTTACACAGGTTAGTCTCACTGATGATGACTTTTTAAATTGTGAACTTGTTACAATTTTACATTCAATTTAAATTTAATTTCCATTGGCTCCACCCTGATTTATCCTGTAAACTAACAGGTGGTGTTCTGGCCTCATTCCTCCAACAGTGTCGACTGTTCTGTTTAGTTGTAGTTGCTCGTAAACAAATGTTGAAACTATCCTCAACAAGTGCCCGTGTGTGTGTGTGTGTGTGTGTGTGTGTGTACGTGGTGGAGTGTATGACTTCTCAATTTCCATGTGTGAGTTTTGCTTGTGTTGTTTTCTGACGTGTTTATTTAGATTGTGGGGCAAGGATGCATTTGCTGCAACGCATTGTGCTGCATTAGATTAGATTAGACAGCGCAGCACCAGCACAATTATGATGCACCTAATGTGTGTTTCTTTTGTCACCGTTCGGATTCAAAGGAAATTGATTCCGACAAAATCCCACGGGTGCCATCAGCAGTGAATGGAAAGGAGCAATTAAAGCCAACGCAATATTGAAAACAACAGCCTGTGTATGGTCCAAACCAGGCTATGATTTTAAATGGCAGTGCATCTGTTTGTAATGCAAATACTGAGTGCTCAGTGGTGCTAGCTGTTATGCCTTGACTGGCTAGGGGGTCCTGCACACTGGAGCTGGCTAATTACCTTAGCTCTTTAGATTAGAGGGCAGTGCATAAGAGAGAGAAAACCTCTATGTCTACCTCTTCTGTATTCTCTTCCATTACCCCTGTGTAAAGGTTTCATTTGAATTCATGTCACACAACAGTCCCACTCTGTGCCCCAGTGCATCCCCAGGATAATTGGGTTGAAAGCTTCCTCCCTTCCTCCACTCGGCCTCCTCTTCGTCTAAATAAATAAATAAGGAGACAATGGCTGTGTGGCTTTCTTTAGAGAGGGTAAGAGTGAATGAAGAGATGAGAGAAGCCAGGAGCGCAGGGACCAGTTATCCTCTCTTATAATCCAGGCCCTCCTCACCAATGTCTCTTGAGCCGCATGGAATTTACATGAGTACCTGTGGTGCTGGCCTTAATTTAGCCCTTCTTCAGCAACTTCAAATATCCCCACCAAGATAATTAATTTTTAGCCATCAGATGAATCAGTCATCTTTCTGCACTAGAAGGATGAAAATGACTCAATGAAATTCCTAACCTATTGTAATGATCAGATTGTTTTAATTAATTGAATTAAAACATCTTTTTTTGTTTACTCAAAGCACCATGAGTCCCAGGTAACGTCTCCAAGCCCATTTTTTGCCATTACCAAGTGCATTTTTTCATATTCTTTTGATTGAAAAGTTATTTTCTATTATAGATCTGTTTAAGAATTAAGTTTCTTATTGCAAGTTGTGTGCCTTTATGCTTCTCCATCCTTTGAATTAGCACTTGTTTGCTCATTGATGTGTGTCTGGGTGACAGTAGCTCTCCTTGTCTGATAACGAGCTGGTGTTGTATGTTTCTCTGAACACTATGCAGGGCGAGAGGTTATCTCTCTAATGAAAGGCCTACCTGGGGGGTGATTAGATACAAGGGCACAGTTGTTCATCAGACCACCCACTGGCTTTTTGTGTGTTAGCGTATGCTTGGTTGTGTGTACGTGTACATGCTACCAAAGTGAAGCTGTGTGTAGCTTTTGCTAGTGAGTGACACCAGGCTTCAGGGCATTCTGCCTCTGTTTGTTCTCCTGCTTCCACAGGGACCTCCATTAGCTCCAATTAGCTTTCATTTTGCTTGCCCAGTCAGATGAAGCTGCACATCCCATTTAAATAGCCCAGATAACGTCTGCTACATTCACACTGTACTGTGCACACGTATTGTTACATACCAAGACATTTAAAGTTAATATCACGGTAAACTATAACATGCTGGCATTGAGGTTTCTTGTCCTTGATTATTTATTTGTCCCCACAGTGCTGCGAGATGACTTTAGACAAAATCCTACTGATGTGGTGGTAGCTGCCGGAGAACCTGCAATTCTCGAATGTGTTCCACCCAGAGGCCATCCTGAGCCCACCATCTTCTGGAAAAAGGACAAAGTGCGAATCGATGATAAGGATGATAGGATTACTGTGAGTATTATTGAATACTTCTCTGTAGCTGGACCAAGACTCTGGAACAAGTTACCTCTGCTTGTCAGACAGGCCCCCTCCCTCTCGGTTTTCAAGTCCTGTTTAAAAACTCACTACTGTTCGGTGGCTTTCAACACCAGATGATTTGTGTTTTGAACCTGTATGCTCCACACTGGTTAGTCGTCATTAACTGCATCGTTTTTATGTCTATATTCTGATTTACTTCATTTTGTATTTTGCTTTGTGTGTTACCTGTTGTTTTGTCTGTACAGCACTTTGGTTGGCCTTGTAGCTGCTTTAAGTGCTCTATAAATAAAATGGTATGGTATGGTATATTTAAATCAATACAAAGGAGCTTCAACAACATTGCTTGTAAACTGATTTTTAAAAGCATCATCTGCTGGAATAGTCAATTTACTGAACAATGTCAAGACAGGTGTTAGGGAATTATTGTAGCACATGTAACCTCAACTGATTTCCCTTTATTTATTTATTTTTACTATGGATAGGAAAAAGACAATAAAAGATGCAAGTAAATATAAAAAATAATTAATTTGATTTTATTAGTAAAAGTTTTTTTGGTGTGTGTTTGTTTAGATCCGAGGAGGGAAGCTTATGATCTCCAACACAAGAAAAAGTGATGCTGGCATGTACGTCTGTGTGGGGACCAACATGGTTGGAGAACGAGACAGTGAAACAGCACAATTAACAGTATTTGGTATGCAATATTTTTCTTCTTGAATTAAAGTTTGTACCTACTTATTGCTGTTGAAGGTGGGTGACTGCATAATTCCAGGAATTACTACAATACGTTACAGATGAAGGCTCTCACAATTGGGCTTTAATTTCAAGTACTTGTGCTTTCATCTAGCATAACTTTTATATGTGCCCACTGAGCTACATGCAGTTCAAGGACCATTGATTGTGTTTCATATTTGAAATCCCCATTAAGTTGTCAAGAGGTTATACAGTATGAGAATAAATTACAACAAATAAGTTAGTTTAAGAAACTGCTTTAATCATTTACCCAACAGTCATAGGTTCAGTTTGTGCCTTTGTGCTATTATTCAACAGATGGACTTTAAATTAGGTGTTTGCAAGTTATCATACCTGAAGAAAATGATACTGGACTAGTTACAGGTGCATCTCAAAAAATTAGAATATTGTGAAACAGTTCAATATTTTTGTCAATCATTTCATAAAGTTTGATGATTATGGCTTTCAGATGAATAAAACAACAATGTTCAGAGTCTCAGAAAATGAGAATATTCCACAGTCAGCTTTTGGTACCATTGTCCGTGTGGGCAGGAGTGAAGTCCTGCTGGAAAATGAAATCAGCATCTCCATAAAGCTTGTCCACAGAAGGAAGAATGAAGTGCTGTAAAATTTCCTGCTAGATGGACTGGACTTCAGAAAACACAGTGGACCAACACCAGCAGAAGACATGGCACCAAACTATCACTGACTGTGGAAACTTCACACTGGACTTCAAACAAAGTGGATTCTGGACATCTCCACTCTTCCTCCAGATTCTGGGACCGTGATTTTCATATGACGTGACAATGTACTTTAATCTGAAAAGAGGACAACTGAGCAACAGTCCAGTTCTTGGTCTCCTCATCCCAGTTAAGATGCTTCTCGCGTCTCTAGTTCAGGAGTGGCTCAACTTGAGGAATGAGACATTTGTAGCTCATATCTAGGAGTTAATTAGATGATTAGGGTGTGACACCAGGTGTTTCCAATATTGAACCTTTTCACAATATTCTAATTTTCGGAGAAACTGAATTTAGGTTTTTCATTATATGTAAGCCACAATCATCAAAATTATAAGAAATAAAATCTAGAAATAGTTCACTCTATGTGTAATGAATCTATGTAATATGCGAGTTTCACTTTCTGAAATGACAGACATTTTTTTTTTACTTTGTCATAATATTCTATTTTTTTAGATGTACCTGTAGTATAAAATCATGTCTAGAATAATATCTTGAGATCACCTGTAGTCTATTAAACTGACATATGAAATTAATTGTAAAATGTTCTGCCCATCCTACAGAGCGACCAACCTTCCTCCGGAGGCCCATCAACCAGGTAGTCCTAGAGGAGGAGATGGTGGAGTTTCGTTGCCAGGTGCAAGGAGACCCCCAACCCAATGTACGCTGGAGGAAAGATGACATTGATGTTCCTCGTGGGAGGTATATACTTTCAAAAGACTACTCTGAAAGAGTTGCCAAAAAGATATCTTCTTTAAGAAGAAAATTACTTAAGACTTACTTTTTCCCCCTTAGAGTGTGATAATGACATGGTTTGAGCTGAATGTGAGCAGAAAATGTGCTCCTTTGTGCACACCTGACTTTGTGTTAAGTACTGATGTGGCAGACTGTGCACTCAAGTTGAAGAGGCTGCAAAGAAACTGAACTGAGATACTGATTCAAACTAATCATCTCCACTTCTAGCTTTCACCTGATGTGGCTGTCAGGTGATAAAAAGACCTCTGTAAGCAGTATACAACCTACATTGTTGGCCCCGTCACAAAACAAATAGGGGGAATTGGAAATTTACTCTGCGCCCGTCTGTCCATCTGTCCATCCATGCATGCTGTGAGCATGATAACTTGAAAAAGAATTGAGGCAATGAGTTCCATTTTAGTGTGTGGCTACATCTAGGGATAAGAAAGGCTATTAAAAGAAAAGGGTTTGCCATGTCAAAATCCAAGATGGCTGCTGCCGTCAATGTCCATTTGTGTTGTGAGGCTGATAACTTGAAAAATAAGTGAGGAGCCAACTTCCATTTTGGTGTGTGGCTGCATAAGACAATTACCTATAAAAATGGGGTTGCCACATCAAAATCCAAGACTGCCATTAGTATATACAGTATGTAAACTTTGTGAGATGGATAACTTTAAAAATAAGCAATGGGCCGACTTCCATTTTGGTATGTGGTGTAAGTAATATGATTGATAATATGGTAATAGTTTCCACAACTGATTGGGGTGGCCAAGGCCAATATTGTCCACCCCCTGGCTCCTATATAGGCTGGATAAAATAGTTCCCTTCACACACCAAGATCCATCACAAAATCAACTTCTATTCTTATACACAGTGTCACTCCTTCTTACTTGCACATCTTGCAACAAAAGCTTTATGGCTTACTTTACTAACATTCACTTTAAATCCCTCAGTGATGTGGGACATTGGGGTACTATACTGCCTATTTGTATTGATAAAATTTAATCTAATATAATATAATAAAACTCTGGTGGACTTGCGACCTGTTCAGGGTGTACCCAGCCTTTTGCACAATGACTTCTGGACATGGGTGCCAGTGACCCCCGCAACCTGGAAAAAAAGAAGCAGGTCAAGGTAATGGTTAACAGATGGATAGTAATAAAAAGATGTTCCTCTCATAATTATTTTTACCTATGAACATTTATTTATCTGGTAATTTAATCCTAAAGGTATCCAAGCACAGGTATATGAGCTTGTAAGGAAAATAATAGAAATGCAGAAATGTTAGAGGGGAAAATGTTTACAATGTTAAGCAGACAGAAACTGAGACAGTAATACTGGATATAAAGAGACAGACGATGGCAGCTGACAACTCTCTGGTGACAGCGTACAGATGCAGCTGTTCAAAGGTATACCTTGTACACACACCTGATACACACACCTAATTGTGCTTTCTATAAATATTTAGTCGGTGCATCCTCACATGCGTGACACATGGAATCGGTCACACAAACCAAAACAGAAACAAACTAACACAAGACTGAAATTGAAAGAGAAATATACACACAAACCTAACCGATACACCTTCACTGATCTTGATGTAATATTACTGCTCTTATTGGGCCCTGTATGTGCCAACCTATTGCTTCATTGTGAGTAACATGACTCATGGCCAGTAGCAGTGTCATTGTCAGGAGTGGACTTCAAAGAGACCAGTGTTCTGTCTCCAGCCAGCAGGCCGGTCACATGCTGCTCGGATCCCCTGAAAAAACATACACTCAGTAGACCTGACATATCCCAAGGCTAGCAGCAGAGCCGAGCGTAGGCGGCTTGTTTGTGTCTGATAAGGATTTGGTTCACTGGGCAGTGGGATATGAGCCTTGTGCCAAGGCAAACACATAAAAGTATTTCACTCAAGTCTTTGATAGGGAGTTGGCTGTAGAACTGAGTTCATTTTGTACACTAATTAACAGATTTATTATGGAGTCGGATATCTGTCACACGCCTGGGTCTACTCTAACTGTAACATCTCTTTGAAGTTTGGCCATTTTTTTCATATGATAAACATGAAAAATATGATGTAAAAAATTAGAAGAAATAAATATTGCATTAACTGTCATGTAAAGTACATGGTTCTGATAGGGGATTTAGCTGTTCTAGCAAAAGCAGGAATTCAGACATGGATGGCTCATTTTGATGTTTTTTCCTGTTTTTGTTATCTGAAAAATTGTATATTATGTATTCCTACTTTACATTGTATCTCCTAGTAAATATCAAAAAGTTGTTCTATCTGACTGGCTAAGGATTTTCACACACAACCATAGTTTCTATTTTGAAAATGGTCAAATATGTGGAAGAAGAATAAATCATGTTGTAGCCATTGTGGCATCACACTTCAAACACCGCAGCTGCAGCAGTAGCTGTCTTCACCAAAAGGAATAAAAGCCGACAGAAGATCAAGCAGGCATTTATGCAGCGGGGAGTGGTCTTTGCCTTTTATTCGAAAAGGTTACGCTGTCCTTATTATTATGATAAGCTGTTGAATGAGATAGACTTAGCAAGGTTGCCCCTCTTTACCATCAAAATGTTTCAACTTGTCTTTGCTGGTTCCTTTACATGCCTGAGTCCCTCTGTGGGTTTCTGTGTGTGCCAGTTTTTTATGCTAGGAAGAAGGGAAATGGAGCCTCAGCTGAGTAAACAGGTTGTTAATATGCTCAGTGGCTCCAGCTGCCTCACAGACAAACACATACACACACTGGCACCTATGGTGTAGACATAAAGCCCAACACGGCAGTGAATTCATGTTTCTGTGCAACAGAGGAGGAAACAGAGACAGGAAAATAAAGATTTCCATTAGAGGACAAAACAGCTGCATTTTTTTATTAACGTTTTAGGTTTACTTTATTTGTGAAAATTAAATCAAAACAAGCTAAAATCACCAAACATCTTCTGATTTCAGTGTCCTACCCATCAACAGCTTTGACACTGCTGTGTGACAAAAAAAAAAAAAAAAAGAACAAATCGAGGTTGTTTTTTCACTTATCATGATGAAAAATTCTAATGAGCAGCTCATGAAGTACAGTCTGACACATGTCAGAGTAAAAAGTCTGACAGTCTGAATTAAAATGTCAGAAAACAACAGGTGCACTTAGACGTTGCAGACTTTGTTTTTTAATGCTAAGGCAATACTATGCTGAACAACACAATCTACAATTTATCCTTATTCTTGTTCTTATTTGCAGACAATTATAGTGTCTTTCCTTGAATGTTTTCCCTAAACACTGCTTAATTTTTGATACAGAACAAGTATTCCAATAGAGAAGGTGCCAAAAAACTCTTCTTTTTTTTGGTAAATGGTAAATGGACTGTACTTATATAGCACCTTTCTATCTAATCAAGATACTCAAAGCACTTTACAGCACAATCTCTGCCCTCATTTACCTCCACACACATGTTCATACAGCACTCTACTGCATCTCTACTAAACTAATCTGAACAAAGCTGAAACTGATTTTTAACTTTTACACTGAGTGCTATCTGATCGCATGAGATTTGTGTTTAAAACGTCACCATTTACAAGTGGAATCAACTCTATGCAAAATATCTCACCAACCAGTGAGTGGATTTAAGTAAAACATTCAGAATGAAGTCATTAGGCTAACATCTAAAATTAACTTTTTTTGTCCTCACCTCTATTTGAGAGCCACTACAGACAACTGATCAAAACAAACAAAATAAATCAAAACAAAAACAAACAAACAAACAAATACATATGGCTATAATCAAGCCAGTTTTACATATATTTAGTGTGAATTAGGTGTGGTAGCTGTTGCATAGTGGCATAGATCCCAACACATACTTTAGGCACAACACATTATGCAAGTGACTTGTCTAAAAGTTTGCTATTAAATGTTGGAGTTAACTCTAAACTCTCATAATGTTGGCTATACCTCTCTCTATATAATGTATGTATGTAAACCAACCACCACATAAAGTACGGTAGTTTAATTTGAGGAAACTATGCTTTCTATGTTTTTATTGCTTGAAAGTATAGTCTGCATTAATATTGCAGGTTAAGAATAAATTCAAGTGGTTTGTAGTGAGGACCAAAAGAACTGTCGAATGTGATGTGGAACTTGTAAAAGGGGGCATCCTCCTCGACATTAAGCAGATGACATCTGGACAGGGCTCCGATTCAGTGCATTCAACTATCCTGCTGAGGATCGGTCCAGGTGGAGGTTGATGATGAATGATGTTTGTACTGCTCCATGTCCCTAAGCTAAGGGACTGATGATGATGATGATGATGATGATGATGATGATGAAAAGTATAGTTTCCTCAAATGTTTAAGTCAAAATAATCAATGTTCCGCCTTCCACATTGATGTGTGGCTGCATCTAATTGTAAGAAAATCCACTACTGAAAATCCAAGATGGCCACAACCACACCCACACCCACACACACATACATACATACATACATACATACATAAATACATACATACATACATACGTATGTGTGTATATATATATATATATATACATATGTATGTGTGTATATATATATATATACATATGTATGTGTGT